GACTTCTTAGAACAGCTGATAAAAAGTTCATGTATTTTGCTTGTTAACAATTTTTAAAAATTAATTTTCGATACACTGTATCAGGTAGTCTAGCTATCTCTAATCTCTAAGAACTGTTGCTTATTTTCTCGTCTTTTAAAGTCAGAGACGCGACATTTGAATGACCCACGCACACCTAACTCATGCCCTTGATGCTTTTTCTGCTCCTACAGCTAATCCAATTGTATATTTGAGATGACAAAATTTATCAGTACACCTTTTTTTTTTATCTATTATTTATTTTAATATCTTTTTTGACTTCTTTTCTACACTCAAAACTGGCTATCTTATAAGAACATCGAAACACTACATCTCTGTAGCTCTTGCTCTTTTCTCCACTCTCCACTTGGTCGCTTTCTAGTGTTTTCTTTCTAGCTCACTCTTTACTTTACATCCTTTTAGTTCCATTCCTTCCAACACTGATCTCTTAGTATAAGTTTTTCTTCTGATTTTTGCAATCAAGCACAAATAAACTACAAAAAATAGCTCTCATGAAAAATCATCTCATCAAAAATAGCTCATGAAAAATCTCTCATCAAAAATAGCTCTCATAGCTCTCATAGCTCACCTATTCTAAACTCTTTAGAGCTTTACAATAAAAAGCAAACTGAGTTCTGAACCCCGAAGACACATCAAATTTTATTCCAAAAGTTTTACTTTCAATAATTTGTTTTTTGATATTGTCACATTTTTATAAATAGCTATAATATCATAAATATCACACCTTTTGTTCCCTTCTCTGACTTGAAAACAAATAACCCTGAAAGGATTATCAGACTTGCTTAACTGAGCTTTTTAAATATCTTTTCTTTCCCTTCACTACTTGTTATCTGCTGGTCCTCTAACCTTATTTACCTTTCTTGATCTTTCCAAACTCTTCCTTTAGCAATTTTTTAAAATAAGCCAAACTTCATTTTTAAGTATTTTCCAAATAGCCCTTTAATATAACCTTTAACAAAATCTATATTTTTTGTAATTATTTGCTTCACAAATCTAGACTCTCCATTCATTTTATCCATCTAGCATTTCACCTCATACCTTTTGCTTGATTGAACGAACTTTTTATACATCTTGTTTTGCCTTACGCTAAGACTTACAATGCAAGAAGATGCCTTTTGCATTCACAGATTTTTTCCACATTTTATAAAACGTAAACATTTGCTACATTCATTCAACTGCTGTGATTATTTCTGTTGTTGAAGACTCTATGTTCGAATTTTTTTTTAATGCCTTTGCAACAATGATATGATTGCCAACTTTTAAATTATTATTAAAATTTAAGGTTGGCAATTTTCACTGCTTTTTCACTGCTGCAAAGAACAACTGCAAAAAATAAGTTTATTTTATGACTAGAGTCTCTTGACCATTTAGTAAAGATTTTAAACTATTTTTTATGTTTCTGTTTTAACACGAAACAATATTTGTATACTTATACTTACTTTTATTTGTATTATTATTAATTAGAATAAATATTTTTAAACATATTTGGATCTGTTTTGGTACCCTTAGCCTGATATGGGCGCCCAAAAAAAACACTAAAATTTTTTTTTTCTTTTTTGTATTTTATGAAAAGAAAGAAAAAAAGTTTCTGTTTCAAATGAAGAAGTGCATAACTAAGTTATATTTATTTATAATTCATATTTTCTTTAACAATACGATGAATTTGAAAGTTATTCCATGGAATCACTTGTTTATAACGCTTATTTAGTTACTAACCGAATGTTACTTTTAAAATTAATTGCTTCAGAAAACTTTTTGAAACCGTACTCGTTGCTTTTCATACAAGGTAATATTAGTGGCAATGTTTTCTCGGTAATAATTGCAGAAGTCCTTATTGGTCAGGGTCATCGATTGAAAAGGGTATGTAACGGTTATTTAAAGTCTTTAAGTGTTTTAACTAATATATTGACATATTACAAACTATATTGAGTAATGTGATTTTATTTTTGAGTTATTGCAGTTTATATTGAGTAATGTGATTTTATTTTTAAGTTATTGCAGTTCATTTACAACCTCGACAGCCGCAATCAGCATCAGTTTGTCATATTCAGGCTATGGTTGAAGGTACTTAAGAAACAGACAATTTTAATCCTTGCGTAGCTTCGTATTAAATAGCAAGTTGTTGTTCTTATTTTTACTTTTTTTTTTAACTTTGTTTTCGAATGAATTATTGCAAATCCGAGAATTACCATATTATTGCAGCCCGTAATATTTTATATAATTTTGTCTGGTAATATTATTTCTATTAAGTAAAATTTACCATGTTAAAATAAACTTGACTTTTTTCTTCTGTTATTTTTGTATAATAATATTTTTAAAAATTAGCTTATCATTTTAGAAAATCATTAAAAACATTAGAAATACAACTATAACAAAGCATTTGGAAAAGTAATTTTTTTAAATAGTATACCGAATTGGTCTTCAAACTTTGTTAAGATCATTTAAACCGTTTGTGCAACTTATATAATAATATAAAATCCGTAAAAATATTTTACCGGACTTGTAATGTAGTTCCTCTATTATCAATAATCTCTTTAATTTTACGAACGACTAACCCAGTTTAAATGAGGAGTAATTCCCTTAAAAATTATTACACTATCCTTTTAAGTTTGTGGCTTCGAACTAAAGTTTACTTTCTATAAACAAAAGTTTACAACTCAAAATAAAAATCTTTCCAAAAATTTTTTTTTTGTTTCATTAAGCAATTATTTAATAAGTATCATTATACTTAAATAATTCATTAAGCAATTATTTTAATAGAATCATTAAACTTAAATAAAAACTAGAAACAATATTGAGCTAATTTATTTGATTATTTTCAAAAAAAACTATATTGCCATAAGTGATTCTAAGTTATGAAATACTTTATTCAGTGTTGTGGCTAATAAATCCAAAATCTGTTATTTAGGATTCAAAGTTTAAAAAAAAAATTTATCACTAAGTATTTTGGAAAAAAAATATCTTTAAATTTCGAAAAGGTCCTAATAAATATGCAAAGGGCCGTTAATTTGCTGTGCGTGCTCAATGCCCCGTGCCTAGGAGGAGCCTAGTTACTCTGGTTTTAATATTCACCTAAATAATTTCACTACTCTTTTTTTAATAACGAGAACTTTTTACTAATAAATATAAATTAATTTTTTTTTTTGGTTTTTTTTCATTTTCGATTTTCTTTAGTTTAACGAAATATTATTAATTTTATTAACAAAAAAGCAAGTTTTTTAACTTTATTAACGACAAAACAAGTAACCTTAACTATTTTTGCATATAATTTTAAATGTAACAGGAATTTTAGTTTTTAATATTTGATTTTACAATAAAAAAGCACGTCTCGGCGTAGCCAACAGACAAATGAACGTGTCGTTTCAAAAAACCAAAAAGCACTTTATTACTAAAATGAGTCTAGCACCAATTTGTGTCACCTGTGCTTAGATACAAGTTCCCTTAAAAAATCACATTAATTAGGCCTTTCGGCATGAGTTAGATTGCAAGTTTAAATTATAGTTGATTTCAGAATCATTTTTCACCACAAGTCATTGACTTGTGGTGTTACGCCAGACGACCAATAGATTTGGCAAACATCAAAATACAAAATTACAACAATAAACTTATTAAAATAAATAAGAAACTTAGAGAGATTGAGGATAGGTCAAAGTGTAATAATCTAAGAATCGATGGTGTCCCTGAAAATGACAATGAAAGCTCGGCTGAATGAAGCAATAATCCTAAAACTTAAATTTTAAAAATAAAACTGAAACTCTTAACAACTTTTTAAAATAAAAAGGTAAAAACATTTTTACATATGAAGATTACTCTAAGGAAAGGAATGTTATACAAAAGACGCTATGTGATAAAATGAAAATCAAAAGACAAGCTGGCAAATAAGCGTACATTTCTTAAAATTATTTTTTGGGATTGGAAGTCCAAAAAAAGTAATATTTTATCTTTTTTAATATCTAGATTTACTTATTTCAGACAACTGATAAATTTTACATGAAGCACCAAATACCTGCAAAAATCCAGTGAAATCATAGATTTATATTAAAATATTTTGTCAATAATAGTTATCGTGAAAAGACTGAATATCTTTTAAAAATGAAATGGTTTATGCAGATCCAAACGGTCAAACCTGGAGTATAATACATTAAAATACATATATATAACTAGATCTTTAATTTTTGCTTTTTTTTTACTAAGATATCATGTTTCAAAAGTAACATTATATTTAACATTAACATTTCAAATAACACTCAAAATTCAAAAATTTTCCGCTCCTGGAAAATGTGTGAATTTTGACGCCATTTTACGCTTCTTTTCTGTTTGAAAAATAAAACTTTTTTTTTATAAAATCCATTCCATTTTCAACCCCCTCCATTGCACTTGTTAAAACAGCCGTGGTGCAGTTGTTAGCTACCTTCGAGGTTAGAAGTAAAGCTAATAATTGCTTCTTTTAACAAAAAGAGATCGAGGAGGCAATTTCAAGGTACTTTGAATTAATTATGAGTTTCACTCAAATATTGAAAATTTGTATATACATCTTTTTCTAGTTTGACCCTTTCGTTACAGATACCTTGCATAGCGGGTAATAAAATATGTCGTTAAAATACCAGTACCCCGCATAGCGGTGGATAAAGAGTTTTGCTTTCTGTCAACCCCGGGTTTTTTGAGCGACTTTAAAACTTAGCTTAATAGAAACTAGAACAATAATCCAATCATACAGCGAAAACCGCATGAAAAAAGCTTTGTTAGATAAGCTGTTATTCAATTTTGAAAAATGACTAGTTCATCGTGTTTACGTCAAAAAAAAATCTCAAATATTGACGAAATTTTAAACTTCGTACTTGAAGAAAGTGACAAAGATAGCAATCAAAGTATTGATCTTGGTGATAGTGACTCTAGTAATGATGAGGATGATAAATTAATAGAATTTCCCTGAACTTTTTCAAGAGGGTTTAAATGTTAGAATGGGGAAAAACCCAACTTGTCTTGATTTTTTTGAACTCTACTTTCCAGATGAACCTATAACTTTGTTAGTTGCAGAAACCAATCGGTATGCAAGGCAGTTTTTTGCTGCTAATCCAGATAACTCTTCTTTGAGGGAGGAAACTAATGTTGCCGAAATTAAAACTTTTATTGCTGTCATTCTTTTAATGGGAGTTATTTATAAACCCAAACTTAGTAAGTATTGGTCAAAAGATGCATTGTATAATACTCCAATTTTTTCAGAAGTTATTAGTCGAAATCGTTTTAATATATTATCAAAGTTTTTTCATTTTAATAACAATGAAGATTATGATGCAACTGATCAAAACAGAGATCGCCTTCACAAAGTACGACCAGTCATAAACATTCTGCGTAATCGATTTAAAACTGTATATAAACCAGGAAAAAATCTAAGTGTTAATGAATCCTTTATAAGGGTCGTTTACATTTCCGTCAATATATTAAAACCAAACGTGCTCGTTTTGGGAAAAAGTTTTATGAACTAGCAACTTCAGAAGGAATAACACTAGACTTCCTTGTACACTGTGGTAAAGGAATGTTTGCTGATGATGATATAAATGATCAGATGCTTTCATCAGCAAGAATACTATCTGTGCTGATGAAACCTTTTATGGGTCAAGGTCACACTCTTTATACAGACAATTATTACTCTAGTACAACACTTGCAAAGTATTTTCTTGATAACAAGACACATCTATTTGGCACAATTAGGTCAAATCGATATAATCATTAAAAAGATATTCTTAATGAGGTTTTAGAAAAAGGGGATGCAGTTTTTTATAAAAATAATGATGCCAACAGTCAAATGCTGGCTTGCAAATTCCATTCATCGAAAGATAAAGCTTAAGGTAAACAAAAAGTTGTCTACATGCTATCAACATGTCACCAATAATCCATGAGACTTATTAAAAATACTCGTGGAATAAAAATTCAAAAACCAATTTGTGTAAAAGAATACAATGGCCACATGGGTGGTGTAGATCGTGTTGACCAACAACTCCAGAGCTTGCACCTGTTACGAAAAACATACAAGTGGTATCGTAAACTAGCATTGAGGCTTATTTCTCAGGGAATTTTAAATAGCCATAAAGTTTTTGAAAAGTACACTTGCCACAAGAGTACCACTTTTTTAGATTTTCTTCACGACATAATTAAAGTAATATTTTTTTCATCAACAAAGTTAAACAAATCACTTGTTCCCGATGGTACTATACACAGGCTTACTGGGCGTCATTTTCCAGGAACCAAACAGCCATCACATGATGCAACAGATAGACGCCCATCTAAATTATGCAGAGTTTGCTATGCACGACGAATTTTTGATAACAATGGCAAACCACTAAAAACTGTGCATGTATGCAAAACTTGCCCCGGTGAGCCAGGGCTACATATTGATAGCTGCTTTGAAATCTATCACACAGTGCTAGATTTGGTGTAGAAATTAGTGTATACCCATGTTTCTTTATTTGACATGCTTTACTGTTGTTATTTTTTGATTTTTTTTATTTGTTTTTGTTCTTTTTTGAAGAAAGCATCATAATTTAAATTTTTGACCCAAAGACTCACTACCTAATAAATATAATAACTTATGATAAAAGGATGTTCAAGACTTGAAACTTTTCAGAATTACTTATTATATATGTCTGATTGTTGACTCTAAATTTGAAAAATATCTGATTAAAATAAGATACATTTTTATTTGATTAAACTTACAATTAAAGTACTATTTGGTTTTCAAAATCCGCCGTTATTGATCACAAGACCTGATGATTTTTTTTTTTAGTTTTATTTTATGAAAGATAAATTGCTACTTTAAAAAGAAGCCAATTTTTAAATAAATTGAACATTTTATAAACTCATAAGGAAGATTTGATGGTAGTTGGGTTAAAACACCATTTTTTGTCACGGTAATATAAGGTTGCTGAGCCCGGTAACGAAAGGGTTAATTCACTTTAATATATATATATATATATATATATATATATATATATATATATATAATATATATATATATATATATATATATATACATATATATATAAATATATAAATATATATATATATATATATATATATATATATATATATATATATATATATATATATATATATATAAATCTATATATATATATATATATATATAAACGTTTTACACCGTTACTCGATAATTACTTTTATTGTATGACAGTGTAAAAATAAAATTAATATCTTTAGAGAAGAGGGCATAAAGCTGCATTTATAGTATATAAAAAACTGAAATGTTAAATAATTTTAATATGTTAGAAAATGAAATATTTTCTTGTTTTAAAACGTATTTTATCCATGAAACTTTCTAATTAGTTAGGTGGTTAATAAATTATTTGTTTGAAAATGCAGCATAAAATGTAAGAACCAACATTTCAAAATTGAGGAACATCTGGAGATGAGCGGCCTGCATTACACTTTAAAATAAGTTTATAATAGTAATTAACACCTAACTCTAGGAGTTTTGATAAGGCTTTTAAAATCATAAATTATTAAATTCAAATAAAATAAAAAACTCCTGCTGTATGTAGTAAAAAACATTAACTTGCTTTAGTTAATATAATTTATCAAGCAGAAAGCAGTGCATTCAATATCAAACAACAGAAATAACATTCTCACCATAAATTTCAGGGTTTCCCAAGGCCTAATGGTAAGACAGTTTTTTTTTATTTATATTTCCAGGAAATAAAACGTTTTAATTTTTTTTGGTCATTAATAATTTTTTTACTGTAAAATTTTTTCCTGTAAAATTTACTGTAAAATCTTATTTGCAAAAATTGGCATTGACTTTTTATCTACCATATATAAAAAAATATCTATATCGTTTCAATATTATAAAACAATAACATATCACTGCGTTAGAATTATCTTGTTCTATCTCCTTATTTTTAAGTTTTGAGATGAAACTGTTTAAAAATGAAAAGCTTTAGGAGACGGAGTATTAAATTTTTTTTACAACATGTTTCCTTCGCAACTTTTTTACTTCAAACTTAGGTTTCAATTCAGTAGAAAAACATTATTCTGAGGTACACAGCATTAATTTTTTCAAAAAGTGGAGAGCAAGATAATTCTTACCTCGCGATATAATTAACATAGATAACTTCAATTTTTATAAAGATCTGCTTTTTGTAAGAATTAGATGGAGCTCAATCGTAACTCTTCAAAACTTTTATTTTTTTATTACGCTTTTGATATTTATATTATAAAAATCAATTCAAAAAAAACTGTCAAAAATATTTATTCATTCTTTAAATATTGGACTTCAAAGATTGAAATAGTGACTCAAGAATACTTCAGTTGTTTTTTCATTTTCAGACCAGAGTTTAAAGCAGCAGAACCATTTTTGCATAGCTATTTATTTTTATTAATTTATTTTGTATATATATATGTCGTTTTTGGTATAATATTGAAATACCCCACATTCTTTATAAATATAGTAGATAAAAGATCAATACCCATTTTTGATAATAAAGTTTTACTGTAAACCCAGGGCTTACAGTATTACAAGGTGACATAACTTGGTCCAATTGTTTAGAACTCCGTTTATGAGTTTAATTTTGAGACTTATTTATTGCTAAAACTTTTTGTTACAAGAAAACATTGTTGATATTTCTTCTAGTATTTATAGTTGTTATGCCACATCTTGTTTTTGTTGATATTCTTTTACCTTGAGTTTATATTAATTTAAAGAACATTAAAGTATAGCTGTAATCAATATATAATTGTATTGAAAATAATATATAATAATAATTTTGTGAGGGTTTAGTAATAAGATCAGTACGATCTACTTGAAGTCCATCCTGTACTAGTTTGATTATAATTTCCATTAAATATTTTGGTTCACGAAACTTGTAAACAATATACTTGCGGAAAAATATGGAAAAAGAAAAAGTTTTACCTTTTCATTTCTTATGAATATATTTGTATTCTTAGGTACTTAGCTAAATAAAGATTTACAATTTAAAAAAATGAAATTGACAATTATGGCTTTGATTGAAAACGAAGACTAAAAATAACATAAAAATCATTTTTTGCTCATTTTAAAGCATGGTATTTATACAATGGAAAATAATTTTATTTACAATTATAATAAGTTTTGGTATCAACTAGCTAATAAACAATAATCAGTTGAAATTTTCATTTTATAAAGTTTTTTTTTTTTTTTACAAGCTAAAAAAAAAAAAAAAAACGCTCGATACCCTTAGGTTAATATTTATAAACATTAAGTTAAACTTCAAAACTCAGTATCTAGAGAAACAATTAGAATATTTCGAAAATTTTTGGAAAATAGGTTCAAGTATAACAATAATATATTAAAAATTAAAACTTTGAAGGAGGTCACTGTATAAGCCCGTATCCTAACATTTTTCTCCAAAGCCTTATTAATAAGTTAGCAATAAAGGAGATTTTTTTTAAAATCAAGGAGTTGTCACTAATTCTACCCAATCCTGCTTTGAAAACCGTGTCATCGGTCCATCTAACGCTATTTTCTATATACTTTATTTTGAAAAGTATACAACATACAGGTTTTAATTAATCAATGGCGACGATAAACAAAAGATCTTTTAATGTGAAAATTTATTTAAAAAATTCTTAGCTGTTTATTGTCAACCTTCCCAAATACCAAAAACTAAATTTTAGTTTGAAGTAAAATATCATTTAATTAAAAGTAATAAAATGGGCATTGATTTTTATTTTCTTGGCGACATTCATTTTTATCGCTCAATAGTGGGCTTTGCTCAATTGCGGTTCTATTCTTTCCTCCGCCTTCTCTATTAATGGCCATTGCCAGAAAGCTGCCGATTCTTTCTTTAATGCTTTTGTCATTAGCGTTTTCAAACTTTTTTTATGGGAGCTGCAAACAAATTTTAAGTTGATAATGTTAAACAAGACATGAACAAAATGTAATCAAAAATTATCAAACTTATTAATTCAACTAAATACGAAGATAAATAATTAAATAAATTACCTATAACCACCTTGCACCCTGTAAGAGGCGAAAATGATTTCTTTTGTTTCCTGCCATACATAGAGTATAACAAGCATACTTGTTTAGCCATTAGTTGTTTTAAGATAGCCGTGGTAAGTTGCTTGTAATCGTCGCCTCCAACCGACGCAAGGAAGTTTACCTAAAACAAAATTAAAAAAAAAAAAATCGAGTTTGTTTACAAAAATATATATTTGGTTGTAATAAAAGTTTAATGGTTCCTTAAATGTGTGTATTTCGAACAGGTTTCCATAATGTTACAACTTCATTATCTATAATGAGATATTTAAATATGACATTGAAGAAAAAGCAATTTGTTACAAATAGATGCAATCTCTGAGGTCAACCTGTTTTGGTGATCAAGACTTATTGTCACAAATGTTTTATAAAGTGATAAAGACACTAGGAAGAATACCACACAAAATTTCATACAGGTTTATGAGCTTCTCATACCCCTACCAATAACTACACAATATATTGTGTAAAATATCTGATATTATAGTATCAGATTTTTATTCACAAGCATAGGTTGTCTTTACCACAGCAAAGAAATCGGGGTGAATGCAATCTCATGTATCTAATGTGAGGCTCCCTATGATTAGTAGGCTAATTGCTATATTAAATGAATTAACTGGGCATAAATGGTTAAAACCACAACACAATTTAATAAATATACTTTATATAAAGCATTCTTTTCCATATCTTAATTAAAATCAAATTTA